TCCATAGCCATGTTGCCGCAGGACGTCCGACTTCAGCTTCCGGCCGCAGCGATGGAAACGCCAACTACCATACCGGAGTTCTTCACAAACGAAGGAGGAAGAAGGGCCAGGGTTATGCGCGCAGATTCTTCTCGCTGGATTATTCCTCTTGCACCCTCTCGTATTACTACAACCGCAACTCGTCTGCACTCCGAGGCGCTATCCCTCTCAGTCTTGCTGCCATCGCTGCCGATGAGCGCCGTAGGGAAATTAACATTGACTCGGGCGCCGAGATCTGGCATCTGCGGGCGTCCAATGCCAAGGAATTCAACGATTGGGCCAAGGCCTTGGAGAAGGCGAGTCGCGCGGCGAGGGGCGTGGAGGAGCAGCAACCCAACACACTCAACGCCAGAGCAGCGCCCTTGAGGGTTAACACGACGCATCTGAAGCCTACGCAGTCGAGTTTAGAGGAGGATCGCGAGTGGCAGCAGGTTGAGACTCTGGTCAGTCGCATGGTTGGCACCAGGGACGCTCTTCGTCGCCTGGTCAAGGACATCTCGAACCAAAGGCCTGTCAGCATGGCTGCTTCGACCTTCTTGTCTCCAGGCACCTTGGGCGAGGAACCGGACAGCTACTTCACACCCCCCGCAGCGACTGAACAGCCGCAAAGACGCCCATTCTGGAAGCGTAAGTCTAGCAACGCTACCCCGACGGCGTCCACGCCCCAGGCGCATCACGCCGCCGCCGCCGCTGCTCTTGCCGTTCCTTCTCCGGGTACCGTCACGACAACAATCAGTGCGAATGGACCCCGCCATTCAAAGTCAAAGTCGAAATCGTCTGTCCACGAAGAAAAGAGCACACAAGAGCACTGTGCGGCACTCCTGAACGATCTAGACTCCGTTGTGTCTGAGTTTACGACTCTGATTGTAAACAGCAAGCGCCGGCGATCTCCCGCCCCCTTGTCTGCAGCACCCTCTAGGAAAAGTATGGAGACGGTGTCGACGGAAGAATTCTTCGACGCAGAGGCCGGGGAGACGAGCTCTCAGATCGTCAGGATCGCTCAGAGCGAAGACGAAAGCCCAGACTCGGATGCGGACGAACGTTTGAGTGACTCTTCGTCCATCTCATCGGCACAGGAGGACGAAGCTATAGGCTCAGAGGATACAGACTGCTACCCGGCGAAGCCCAAGAGCTTGTCGCCGTTGCCGGTGGACATCTCCGTTGACAGACGAACCAAGATTCCGCCGGCCATGGTGCAGCCTCCCAGCCTAATTGCGTTTGTGCGGAAGAATGTTGGCAAAGATCTTAGCACGATCAGTATGCCCGTATCTGCGAACGAACCTATATCACTGTTGCAACGTGTTGCAGAACAACTGGAGTACGCTCAGCTGCTTGACCAAGCCGCTCAGCAGAAAGAGGCCAAGGAACGTCTACTCTACATCACCGCATTCGCAGTGTCGCAGTTCAGCACTGGCCGTGCAAAGGAACGCGCTATTCGGAAACCCTTCAACCCTCTTCTGGGCGAGACATACGAGATGCTACGAACTGAACAGGAAGTGCCCGGAGGTTTCCGACTGCTTGTCGAAAAGGTTTGCCATCGCCCTGTCAGACTCGCGATGCAGGCCGACTCTGCTAGCTGGTCCTTCAGTCAGTCCCCCGCGCCATCGCAGAAGTTCTGGGGAAAGAGTGCCGAAATCACTACGGAAGGTCGCGTTCGTGTCGCGCTTCGACTCCCCGATGGTACGGATGAGCTGTATTCCTGGACGCACGCCACGATGTTCTTGCGCAACGTGGTGATGGGAGAGAAGTACGTGGAGCCGGTTGGCGTCATGCAGATCTGCAACGACTCGTCCGGAGCCAAGGCCTCGGTGGAATTCAGGAGCAAGGGAATGTTCGGCGGACGAGGCGAAGACGTCCAGGTTGAGACATACGGGCCGGACGGAGTACACACCGGTAGCAGCCTCTCCGGCACGTGGACCAGCGGCCTCCGCGTCGTCGAAGCCGGCAAGGCAGCCGGTCGGGAGATCTGGAGCGTCGGCAAGCTCGTTGACAACCCGGCCAATACCTACGGAATGACCACCTTTGCCGCGACCCTCAACGAGGTGACGGATATTGAAAAGGGCAGGCTACCCCCGACGGACAGCCGTCTACGACCGGATCAGCGTCTGGCCGAGAAAGGCGACCTCGATCAGGCCGAGGAGTGGAAGGTGAAGCTGGAGGAGGCGCAGCGCGCCCGACGTCGGGTGCTGGAGGAGAAGGGCGAGGAGCACAAGCCCAAGTGGTTCGTCAAGGTCGGTCAGGGACCGGAGGGCGAGGAGGTGTGGAAGCTGAGAACGGGCAAGGACTCGTACTGGGAGGAGAGGACCAAGGGGTCCTGGAGCGGGTTGGAGGAGATTTTTGCCGGTTAGAGACAGCGGCGAGGCGCTCTAGAGAAGTGAAGCGCGCGCGCACACACACACACAACGTTTTTTCCACCCGGCGTTTGGGCGGTTTATCTAGCCCCGCTCACTTTCCCTCTATTCGAATTCTTCTTCTGGACCATGATGGTGATTTTGTTCAAAGAGACGGTCGACGATGGCGCGTTGGCGACCTAGGACGAGAAGAGAATGGTTGTCTTGGTGTTTGCGAAACCTGTGTTTGTTACCGCGCGAGTCGCGTTACGTGATTTGTTTACCCCTATTAGGAATTCCATGAGTTGGCTAGCTACCGTTGGCTCAACTCAGCCTGGAGCTCGGACGAGTATTAGCTTGCAGGAGATGATTGCTTACTGCGAAATGGGGAACAATTGATGCAAAGCTCCTGAGTGTCTAGAGCATTTCTACCGCATAGAGGAGTGTCGGGAAGAAGATGGATGCGGTAGGTCTCGGGCATCGATCTCATCGATGGCTATCCGTTTCGTTGAGAGGGCACAGTCGCTCTTCTACTCGATTTTTAATCTTTTGACGAGATGATAGACGCCATGCGGGCTAGGCTTTGGCCGTTTCAAATGGGCATCTTTGTGGTATGGTGTTGGGAAAAGCTCAGCAAGGAACTTTGTTATTGATGGTAGCTGCCGTACAAGACTGTTCTCATCTCAATGAATGACAGTGCTCTCTTGATAAAATTCAGTTTTTCTTGGACTCTCCTCGGCCGTATAACCATGTCATTCCAGTGCTGCTGGTTTGGTAACATTGAAGCTTTTGTCCAAGGAACTTATAGTTTCTCGATTTCTCTATGGCTTGATAGAGTATTTCTTTCTGATGGTGCTAGGTTTGTTGTGTTCAATGTATCGCCGCGAACGAATACGCGAGCTTCTCATACCGAAAAGGAGGAATAGGTGAGGAGGGTCTTTTGTGCGGTGTTAATTAAATGTTTATAGGCCAGAGATGTCGCTACAAGAGCAACTTTAAAGACAGCGACGGCCACATCAACATAAAGAATTGCACATGCCGCGCCATAGCGCAGACAATGCAGTTTAGTAAATTCGACTAGAAAACCAGTGGATTATCCGAGATGTATACGGGCGCCCGCTCGGATAGTGCCGAAGAAGTTGTCTTTCTATCATCATTATTGTCATCACCGGCAGGTATTTAAAATGGACCCTTTACGGAAGCACTTTTGTCTTCTCAAAGCAAGACCCCAAAGACGTCAGGAACGAATCATGTCCAGTCTCAAGCATACAGCTTCCATAATCAGCTCGGGAGAAGGCAGTCACTACAGACATAGAGTGGTTGTTTCCCAGCGTACTTACTTGCGCATCGCTTCAGACTCTCACACATGAAACACAAACGACATCAAATTTATCATCCCGTTATCATTGACTTTAACTACTAAACTCACGATCACAAGTCGACTTTATGAATGGGGGTTGCTTTTGACCATAAAGATCCCTCCTTACTTTCTTATTATTTTTCAACTTATTTCTTTCCCGCAATTCGTTTCTAGTTTACCTAGTCTCGTTATGCCTAATGTACCGTCGTGGACGAATACGTCCCCATCCCACGACAACGATGAAAGGCCGTTGAGGAGGCCACTTTGGTATCTCAGATATCCCTGAAGCAGAAGTGACACCACAAGAGCAACTTCATGGATAGCGAAGGGCTTGTTAATCACTGGACCGCCCCACATGCCGAAAGAACTATACCCACGATGGCGCCTCCTACGCCGTCGAGAGACCACGACTGCAAGACCGGCCTCTGGCAGTACATATAGGCTAGCTCACTCAGATGGTGCTACAGAATTTATTTTCTCATCACCACATAGGGGTAGGCAGACATCTACGATAAAACCTTTACTCCCAACCCGATCCTACTCCAGATCTACCTTAGTATACACGAAAGTAGAAGCGATCTCTTCAGAGTTCTGCCCGTCCTGAACTCGATTACCTCTGGGCTCAACAACTCTACCTCGGCCGACCAGAGAATCCCTTACTCGCTTCCGCCCCGCCTTTCCCCGCCGTGACCCCCGATCCGGGCGGCAACCCGGGGTTGCCCAAGCCTCTACCGGGTCCTACCGTCCTTTTCCACAGCCCCGGGGTACGATTTTGAGTTTCTCGCGAAATAGTTGGGATGCGAGACCGATAAATGCCAAGACAGCACGGAGAAACCCGAGAATACGGACAAGGGACCAGTCGCACCAGTCTAGAGCTGAGGAGGAGCTCCATTTTGCGTACTCCGTACACCTGCGTGGTTCGAATAAAGTCGACTTGTCGAGTCTAATTGATTAACTGACGAGTCAGGTTGCTTTTGGCCTGTAGTCCCAATGTCCTTTGCATAGAGCCATGGGTAACTTTCGCCTTGCGCTCTTGACGCTAAGGAAGGTTTAATAGACTCATTACCTGGGGGTTCTGGGTACATGGGTAAGTTGAGTTGGTTGAAAGGAGTGTTGCGAGAGTTATATGTAAGCTTAAGGAAGTAAGCGTACCCAAAAGTCTGCTCCAACTAGCATCCGGACTCTCTTTTTGTGTTCAAGCCTTCGATTTTAAGAGACGTCTCTCGACCAGTCTTTACTGTCAATCTCAAGTTCCAGCAAACTCCATTACCATGCGTTTCTTCCTCGTCTTACTCCTCGCTGCGATGCAGCTCTGCGGCGTCAACGCTATCTTGCGACTTCAGAAGTGCGGCACAGCGTTTGACAAAAACGTGAGTCTTCAACCTGAGTGTCCTTAGCCTCAGGCAACTCTTCCATAGTTGGAAGGGAATTCCAAGGCTCTGCGAGTCCGGCCTTGTTTGTCTCGCGTCTGTCAAGACTTTGATGCTAATTGTCCATGTAGTGGGTGTCAAACTGCAGTCCCACGGATCAGGATGGCTGCTATTCTCTTTGCAGCAACAAGGTAAGTCTTGCGCCCTATTCCTGATTCGTACGAAGCAAGACTCTGCACGGGGTTGATTGTGGTCTAGAAAGAATTTGGCTGACACATGATGTAGTGCCGCACTGCTAGTGGAAGATGGATGGCGAACGGTGCCGACTGCGACTGCTACTGCTAGAAGATTGGCAACGTGAACGCAGTTTTTACTCGATTTGATGCATTCTGTTCGTTTCTCAGCTGCATAAGGCTCATGTGTTACGAAGGGATCATTAATAGGCAGAAGGATCGTAGTTCAATACAGAATAGTCAATTCCTTATCAATAGCGCAACCGGTCCATCCTGAGAGCAGCAGCTACCAAGACGCAAGACAACGTCTTCGTGCCTACGCGGGAGGCAGTTGATGAACCGTTTCGTTTCTCCCGCCTCCTTGTCTCTGGCTGATCCTCTGCTTTCTCTTCTAACTCCCTTCTCTTTGCACGCTCCACTACCGAGGGCTCGATGTGTATACACTGAGGAATACCAAATAGGTCAAATGAGATCTTGAAAGCAAGGAAAGAGCTAGGAACTCCAAAAGAGGAAAATTCTTACTTTGAGACCTACCGCACTTTTCCAAGTTTCATTTAGTGCAATGCGGTCCGCGGTCCTGCGACACCGACTCCCATGACTCACCACCCGCGCTGCAACCACCAAAAATTTATCAACACTACCCTTTCTTCACGACAACTCAAAACAAGTGACGCAGAGCAAAAGAGAAACTCCTCGACGGGGAATTGAACCCCGGTCCCCTGCGAATCGTTGGAATTCAATGACAAGCAGATATCCTCACCACTAGACTATCGGGGATGTTGCTGTGATAGGAGACCCTCACACAACGACTATGGCTGGCGACGACCCCACAGCACAACCCGCACCTAACGATGAGTGGGGAAGAAAGAGATTTCAATGGGATGGTTCAATGGGAAGAGAAAATTGAGGAGTTGTGGGATATACTGGCTGGGGGATGGGTTGATTTCACCTCTTGTGTAAAGTAGTAGGTAGTTGACTACGGATCATGATCAACGCCAACTTCACCAACTTGGCATAGTAAACAAAAAGAATGATGAGATGACCACCTGGAATCAGCTAAAAGCTCTCCTTGAATCTGTCACGGCGAACTGTCACTCAGACAGCACGACTGAACAATTACTTTTAGGAAACTTGCATCGAGTCCAGGGAGGGGAAGGACTACGCATGAGAAGCAGACTGACAGGTCTAGCAGTAAGGATTTGCTCTAAATGAGTCTTTCAAAGGAGACGTATTCATGCTGGCCGTGCATACTCATCTCAACCTAGAATGCTCCTCTTGACCCGACACACTCCTTTAATCCTGATACTTTTCACCAAGTCCGACATGCTTCCAGCTACCAGCCGTGCCCCTTCCAGTCCGCAACTGAATTGCATAGACCGGCAATGTAATCCCAAGAAAACGGGTTACGAATAACATGAGCTCACTTTCGTATTGGTTAGATTATTTGGTGCCTTGAACACCTCATCCTCATACTCCAAGGAATCAGTTATCTCTTCCTGTGATCAAAGTCACTGCCTTTCTCACCACTTTCGCTCAATCCCCTAATCTCCTCTCTGGAAGGGCAAATTCGACTATACGACTATAACGGACGTGTGAAATGTAGCGATGAGGACGAGCTTTCGCCGTCGGATGGGATTAGCGGCATCAAGGCTTGATGCCGACTAACTTTCACCACTCACCAGTGGGGACGCCGACCTCGACGTTGAAATTGGAAACACATCCATAATTCATCTTCAATTCACCTCGGGCTTCGATCTTACATGTTGTTCAACGGGCAACTGCTCATCTTCATCTTATGTTCGGTTCCACTCTCTAACTTCGTACCTCGGATGAGATAGTAAGGCAGGGCCAACGGATTGAGGAAGATGAGCGAACATTTACATTTGAAGAAGGAACCAAAGAAACCACTCAATCGCGGCCTTCTGTTCACAACAACTGCTCTCCCCGAGGCGAATGGCATCCAAGCCCCTAGAATCATGTCATGGATTTGACTTACTCAAGTAAATCAGGCCAAGTTCAAATCTGACCGCCGCGATTTTCTGAGCAACGGAGCTCCGTCGAGGGGGGGGCACCACGTAGTGATCACGATCAGAATTGGGATGAAAGAGAGAAACGCGTGGGCTCATTCAGCCAAGCTTCTGGTGCAAGGTTACCCCTTACCTGGTTCCATCTTTTAGAGTTGACAGGATTCTGAGCTCTTATCGACGAAAGTGATTTAGAAGCCTTTTAGTCAATGGAAGAAGGAGTTCAGATGATGGGTTGCGATGTTGAATATATTCCGAGACAGAGACCGAGTATGTTGTATTTCATATGCTGCCGTACGGAATTCAAATTAAGCGGGAGAGATATACGTCGGATTTAGCAACCAAGTGGCGAGGACTGAAAGGTTTCTGGGGCTACTTGGTTCAGAAGCACTGAAGTTGTCACGAATCCGAGTTCATGACATATGAACTGTAGAAGACGTTGTCGGGAATTGACATGCCTCAAGTGTCGCTGTACCGAGTTATTTTCACTAGGTTGGGAATAGTCGGAAGAGTGTGGGTGGGAACAGACATGTGCTCTGGGTCAAAAAATGTTCGAATTGGAGCCATATCAAATGTGGCAAAATCTTCGAATGTCTCAACACTGGGCAGACGAACCTACCAGCTTCTCGAGTCTAAGCTCTAGAAGCATCAGTTTGACAGGACTCCTGATGAAAAGCCAATACTTCAATTCTCGCTCCCACGAGGGGCGATGAGTTTCTCCAACCAAGTCCCCGCGGACGCAACCCAGATCATTCATCTACACCTGCCCTTGTCGCATCATAGAACTTCTGGATTGAAGATTGTAGCTACACCTTAAGCGACACCATGTTGCCACCGACGCAGACCAGCCTCGGGGAACAAGATACCTCAAGCACCCAACTTCTCCTCCAAAGCATGGTCGACCAAGACCTCGTGTTCGGAAAGGGGTAGCCAATGGGTCGACCGCCCGCCCGCTCATGGTCCTTTTCCGCAAGACACGCCGCAGGTCTCGGCGGGCGCCACCAGCGGCCATCCCGGAATCCGTCGTCGCGGTGACGACGAGATCCCATCGCCGTGGTCTTGGTTTGGCTAGTATAGAAAAACACAAACATACGATTTGCCAAGAGCCATCAAAATGGACAGGGCAGAAACAAGGGCAACAGCGATCGTGCCAAACGTCGTGTTACGCAAGCAAGTGACCGAGCGAATGCTGAAGGAACCGGTTTCAGATTCTTCGAAAAACCTGACTTTGTGGGGAGGGCGCGTTAGCGTCGAGAAAGGACTAGGAACTTGAAGCACAGAGAGTGCGTTGCGATCAAAGCGTGCCGAGGAGACCCAGCCTTGTAGTTTGCCGGGTGTCAAAGCAACAGTCGAACTACCTTGGGGATATTGACAGCAGTCAACACCATTTTCTAGATAATTGGGATCAGTACTGTGTTCCGTCGAACATGTGGCTTTTAGTTAGAAAAGCACGGAGCCGTGGAGAGTCCCTTGCGGCGACCAAGTTTTCGGATGAAAATCTCGGAAATTCGGAGTCCTACCAGTGCCGTATTGCCGTGTCATGAAATAGTGAACGAGCGATACCTAGGTAGATAGGAGTAACGGGAGTTTCTGAACTGCAGGACTCTCGGACATCTAGGCATTTGATTGTAAAACACCGGAATATCGAGGATTCGGACCTGAAAGCGGGCCCTCCGGAGGTTGCCCCGATATCCCCACATTTACGGACCAAAAAACTCGGCATCCGGTCGGGATTTGCTAATCGGCGCGGGGATTCTGAACAGGCGCCGCTCAGAGGGTCGGGCGATGGTCTGAATCAGGCGACAATTTTCCATGTTAATCAAAGACACTAGGCGCCACTGGTGGTCAGCGGTCTGTTGTTCCGAGGCAGCACCTTGAGACTTGTCAGCCAGCCGTCCAATACATTCCGATGGCCATTACCCTTTGGCTGCATCAACCAATGCTCTGCAACACCAAGGCCGTTGAGCAACGAGGCCGTCAGCTGGGCGCTCTCCCCCCGCCGTATAGGGCTTCGATAAGCAACAGGCAATCCAAAGTAAGCTGAGTGTTGGATGGAGCGACTTCTCTGTGTTGTCAGCCACAGTGATGCGGACGGGGACCAGGGCTTCCTGCAAGGCTCGGTGAATGATGGACGCTAGGGGCGGGATGCTTCCCATCCATCCACTCACGAGGCAAGGCTTGGTCGCTAAGCGGCGCGCTCTGCAATATTTCCGTTGAGGGCGCATGCACGATGCTGAGGTGTGCATCAGCCTCTGAGTTGCATCTGCATCTCAGTATTGTCCGCAAGGAGTTGTCGCCTCGAAAGGGGAGATTCTGGGTAACCTCACCAGGATAGCTGGGAAGCTGGACATGCCGGGCTCGGCATTCAAAATAGGCGGCGTCCAGGGAGGGGACATTAAGCTGACCGTATCTCTGGATGTTGACGCCGCCAATTATACCAAGGTTCAGCGTCAACTGCTGATTAGCCGTAAGCCGTCAAACTGGATCATTGCCTCTGATGCGTCGAGAGGGGATGGAATGCACAATTCTGCTAGCTGTATTGAAATGCAACAATTTCTAGGTCGCGGGCGCATGAAATCGAGTTCCTTGAGCTACCAACATTGGTTGTACAGCATGAGTATCACTTATACTCATGACTGGACTTGGATGAGTTACCGAGGCTTTGGGCCAGCCGCATTTGGTTGACCTGTGTGCTGTTAGGACCTCAGACTCAACCGCCGAAAACAACATAGCTATGCTTACTCAGGTACTCAATCTGAGTGACTTGAGAACATTTCACCTACCTCCGTTATTCAAAGAACGCAAGTGATGCCCGCCGTTGGAAGCTTGGATAACGGGAAGAAGAAACAAAGCTCAGGCCGGACGGATGATACGATGAGCTAGAACGGTCGAAGCGAGAGACAGCAGCGAGCTAGACGGCAATACGGGCAGCGAGAGCTGCAAAAGCGAAAAGAAGCGCCAAGGAGAGACATTCGATCTTCTATGATCCGTGCATATGCGTGAATAGAATCCCTCTGCTAAGTGGCTCAGCCTTTTGGTAAGGCCTGGGGTACTCAAGCGTTTTCCCGATCCATCCAGCTCAGCTTCGCCTAGGCTCTTCCTGTGTGCAGGATTCTTGACGCCCCAAAAGCAGTTTTGACGTGTTCTTTGTGGGATCAACACACGCAGGCCTGTTCTTACATGCATTGAAGCAAGAGGAGCTCACATGGCCTGGCTCAAGACAGCACTTCTCTTCGTGCAATGGTGGTACTTCGACTACCATGTGTAACAAAAAACTGTAGACAGACGCCGCGGCACTGGCCCGTTTCATTGACAGGCGTCGGCAGCGCGGAATGGGCCATCCGATCTAGCGGAAGCTGCGGACGGGTGTGTCTTGGATGGACGGAAACCTCTAGGCGCGCCGTTCGGACCAGGCTGGCGAGCGACGGAATTTCATACTGTCAAACGATGATTAGCCATTCTAAGGCGGACTTCATTGGGGTACTCGAGTGGTGAGTGGGCCAACACGCGAGGGGCGAAATGCCACTAAGCTGTTAGTCCAGGGCATGCTCGAGTTCTCGACAGCTCGGGGGCCCGGAGCTCGTGGTAACGTGCTGGCTAGGGCCATGTCCTGTGGCATTTAGCGGGCAATCAGATGGATGGGCGATCTGGGACAAGGATGTGGAGGGTGTGTTGCAACGGTACCCAAGTAATAATGCTGCGGGTGCCGAAGTGGTGGTCGCATCTCGCCTTAGCCCGTGGATGGTGTGGCTTACGGGCCACCTGAAAAGCCAGGGGGCCGTTCTGTTAGACTGTACGGATAGTCGTCGTGTTCGGTGAGGTGGACGATCACATTCCACAACGACAATAAGTGAACGGCGAGCACTGAGGAGACCGGCTTTGCAGTTGCAAACGGCATTTCCTCTGCCGGTCTCACTCGAGCATTGTATGTAGTGCCATGAACTGGACGTGGCCACAGGGTAGGTATGTACACTTTTGGTGACGTCGAGTGGTGTGAGAGAGTTCATTGCGTGATATTCAGAGCGCGCAAAGTGTGCCAGACGCGATGAAGTCCGTGTTCTTGTCAATTCTGTCAAACTGAATGCTATACATCATTCAGAAAGGTTGAAACTTCTGATTAGGTGAACTTGGTGGGCATTACAGGGCCAACGAAGCGGGCCACAGGATGGTCTTCGAAGGGGAGTGCGGTCAACGGACTGAACGGGCCGGAAACTCGGAGTTTTCTGTTCGAAACGCATACTACGTACAGATACCATTTCTAGAAATAAGTTAGAAGAGGTCAGTGACACGGAGACACGAAGTGATGATGTAAGCTATAGGCGACAAAGGTCTCGGACTCGGACTCGAAGAGGTCAACCTTGGTTAGCCGGCCCCATCAGTACGTGGTGCCGGTCAAGTCACGTATCGTGAAGAGATAGACCTTACTGGGGTCTTCGGCTGGCAACAGCTCGGTTAATGGTGCCGTGGTCGATCACTGATCTGTTGATCCCCGACTAGGTATCGTACAATCCCTGTGGTTGCCGGCCTGATCGCGACGGTGTTCGTTGTTGAAGCGAGGTCGTAGTTCCCATGCCGCCGTCCGTTTGGTAGAATGTACGGTAGTGGGACGAAAAGGACAAACGGACTGAAGGGTGAATTTGATGCTACTGCAACTAAGGCAAGGCGCACCGGCCCAAGAAGGACCAAGCCTCTTGGACCGACATTTAGTGCAGCTCCAAACTGCTTCCCAAAGCTATTTTGAGGGTGGGAAAGGGGAACGGGGAACGGGAGAACGGGGTAAGATGGGGGCCTTCAGGTTGGAGGGGAATACGATCCCGCCAGCGCTAATGCGGGAGGAAATTTCCCATCTCAGGGCACTTGGCTCTCCTCCTTCTCAACCAGCTCCGCATAAGGTAAGGTACCTTTACTGACTGCCTTAGCCTAGGGATACTGCTCCGTACCTCACCTTCTCAAGTACCGTAGCACTAAAGGCAGTTCGTAGGTACTCAGTCTAAGTAGTCTAAGTGAGCCAAGAGCCTCAGGCATAAGCATATCCTCCGATACGTACCGTCAGCCGTCCCAAGAGAGCGTTTCTTCCAACAACAGCTCTTACCTCACTCGGATGCTTGTTGGCAATATCTTCATCCATACACGCTTACTCGCACGATCCCGACATCTCACTGCTTACTTGCGCATGGGCCTGCGCCAGCAGGGAAAGGCAGCATGACTACAGCTGGCTTGTGCATATTCCCTGCTATGTTGGCAGCTTGGCTCTGCTGATCCCATAACCAACTTTCACCACAGCGTCGTTGAACCAGCATTCTACTGGATTCAACACACATATGCTGATGTTGATACCCACGAGGTCGTCTGGTTAGTTCAACTCAGCGAACGATGATCCTGGCCGGCCGTCCCTCTTCTTTGTTCATTAGTGCTAATTCATCATTGGCCTGACACGTCTCTTGCAGACCACGATGGCACTACAGTGGCCGATGCATCCTCACCATCCACAGAGACGGACGGTAAGTCAGATTTACAGTACAGTACACCGGCACACCCGTGGGCGTACACTTTCAAGGGGTCGCACCTTTCACCGCAGCTCGAAAGTCTCGTCGTACACGGCAAGGCTCAAAAGTTCCCGGAATCGAAAGTCAAGTGGTCACCGGAAGGCAGTTGGGATTCAATTCTTAACCGTAACGGCAGCACAAAATGGACCATTTTGGGCCTAGTACCGAGCCCCGGTTCACCTGGTTCAGCACCCCCAATCTTGGCTCTCCTACGAGACACATCCACACACGTTGAGGTAGTCCACACTCTTCGACGCCACCGCAAGGAGTTCTGGGATAGCAAATTTTTGATTCACTTCACATCCAACGTCTGCTTCTTGATGCCAAGATGACGGAACTGCACAATGCCAACGCTCGCGGGCTTCTTGGGACGAAGAATCCGGCGGACGGAATCCGGCGACCATCCCATCTCACCAGAGCGCTCCCTTCCTCGGCTCTAGATTCGTACAGAATGGTAGCCCAACCTCGAGATGGTAAAGTCTACCGCCATGACGTCGGCATGTACCTGAGCGCTTCGGCCGAACTAGGCCTGCAACCTCACGCTTTTCCCCTACACCCACAATTCGAACACTGACCCTTGAAAGTAGGTCGCTTGCTCCTTCTGCGCAGCGTGTGGTCTGCTTGCCGAGGAACCGTCTTACGCTTCCTTCGACGTGGATTGTGAACTCTCGTTCTCGCAAGGCGCCCGAGTCAAATGTTGTGGCCTGCAAGGTCAGCCTCGATGAGTTGCCTATCAACCCGTTGTTGAGAGATCTCTTGCAAGGTTTTCTCTCTGCAAGGCCAGGGATTCGCGCCAGCACTTCCTGCTGTGTTCCTCAATAACCTCCCCGGTTCATTTCCTTATCCTGCATAGAGCCCTTCTTGCATGGTGGCGTATAATTACCATCCAATTGTAGACATATCCAGTGATTGTCAACTCTGCTCATCGACTCTTCTGTCCAGCTAGCGCACCCCGGAAAGCACCAGGGCTTTGGTCAACCGCACGCTGAACACGTCTGATGACCCCCTTGCTTTCTTAGTGAGAGCTGCAACTCTAGATTGCTCATACACTTCTCTTCCTCATCTATAGCTCACGAGTTTCTTCTTCCGAGTCCACAGGAATACACGGCCGTGTTGTCGTTGTCTCAAGCACCCCGAGTAGAGGGTCACCGGCCCTAGTCATGGATATCGACTGTTGTCCCGACACTCATTCGTCTGAGGACCTGCCACACCATGCTCTCTCGCATGCCCACTTGCCCAAGAGTTGATGATACGAACCATCCTAGATAGCCTTGACAGGGTCTAGTCCCCCCTCCCCTAGCTCGCTGCATCCAACGGACATCCGACCATGCATCGAGCTAATACCAAGCTGTGGCTTATACGCCTGGCCATGCCCAACTCCAATACATGCCATGTGCAAGCAGTCAGCACAACGCCATATGTCATCCAGGCCGTCGTTCTGCTCCGGCGCCCCGTCTCGCCTCGCCCGAGCATCGATCGACTTTTGCCAAACCCAAGCCCGGCACCATGTCAGAGCTTCAACTCTACCAAGCAGCCGGGGCCGGCCGCTCTAAGAGAAGGCTGCAGCGTCCAGAGCCCACCCTTCTCACGCTCTGGCCGTGCAAATCTTCCTCGTGTCATTCATCCTGTATAAGTTCTCTTCCTCTCCCTCTTCGGATTATGATACGAGATCTCACTCCTCACTCGCGTCTTCCCTTTCCCTTCTTTTCCCCCTGCATTCGTACTTCCTTCCTCCACTCGTTCGCCGGAAGAGTAACCATAATTACTTAATTTCAGCTCGCTAGACCAGGTCTGTCTAGTCTCGAGGGCCCAATATGTTGCGTTCTCTATTCGCCTTGGCTTGGGCCAATACTGCCCTTGCCGCGACTGTGACCTACAATTGGGAGGCCACTTGGGTCAATGTTGCTCCTAACAATATCTCGAGAGCCGTCATTGGCATCAACGGCCAATGGCCTTGCCCCAAGATCGAGGCCACCGTGGGAGACACTGTTGTTGTCCACCTCACCAACAAGCTTGGCAACCAGACCACCGGTATTCACTTCCACGGCATCGACCAGGTCAGCACCAACTGGATGGACGGCCCCAGCATGGTCACTCAGTGCCCTCTCCCTCCAGACCTGACCATGACCTACTCCTTCACTGTAAGTTGAGACAATATGGATATCGAGTCTTGTAGCAATGCAGCTAACGAAATCATACAGGCTGATACGGGTGGCACTTACTGGTGGCACTCCCACAACATGGGCCAGTACCCTGACGGCATGCGTGGTCCCCTGATTATTCACGACCCTGCGGACCCCTATGCTGGGCAATACGATGAGGAGTACATCCTGTCTGTTTCAGACTGGTAAGTGCTGCACGAGAATGCGAGTGAGACTTCCAGACTAATTCGATGCAGGTACAACTCGGAAACCATTCCTTTGGTACAGAACATGCTGCTTCCGTCCAACACTCGCTTCGCGCCCCCTATCCCCAACGGCATCGTCGTCAACGATGGACTCGGCGCCAAGTTCAACTTTGTGAAGGGAAAGACCTACCGCATCCGCATGATCAACTACGCCGCCTTTGCTTCCTTCATGATTCACTTCGACTCTCACGACATGAACGTCATCATGTCCGATGCCGCCTTCATCAAACAGAAGACCGCATACATGCTGCGCATTTCTCCTGCTCAGCGTTATGATGTTCTCATCAAGTGTATTGACCGTGATAACCGCAACTATGGTTTCCTCGTCGCCGCCGATATCAACCGCGACTACAGCAACAAGGACTTTGCTCAAAGCTGGCCCTTCAACTACACTGGACAGCTCGTCATGTTCCCCGACAGAACCTTTGGTGCCGACGTCGTCAAGGAGTGGCGCCCATCTGACGATGCGGTCTTCGAGCCCTACGGAGACGTCGCCATCCTTCCCGCCGCCACCAAGATCTTCCAGTTTGACTGGCAATTTTGCTTCGACAAGAACGGCATCCCGCGTGCTTGCGTGAACGGCTCCCCTTACGTCGACCAGAAGGTGCCCACTCTCTACACTGCCTCCACCACGGGCGAGAACAACACCAACCCCCTCGTCTATGGCGCCGTCCACCCCTTTGTCGTAAACTACGGCGACATTGTCGACATCGTCGTCAACAACAACAACGACGCCAACCACCCCTTCCATCTCCACGGCCACCACTTCCAGGTCGTCAGACGCCCCGCTTCCAACACGGGCGTCTGGCCCGGTGTCGCCCGCGCCCGCCTCAACCAGAAGCCCCCGCGCCGCGACACCGTCACTGTCATGGGTAACTCCCACGCCGTCCTGCGCTTCGAGGCCAAGAACCCCGGCGTCTACCTCTTCCACTGCCACATTGAGTGGCATGTCGAGATGGGTCTTACCGCCACCATCATCGAGGCCCCTGAGAGGCTCCGCAACCTCACCATCCCGGATGATCACAAGGCCGCCTGCCGTGCTCAGGGTATCCCTACTGCTGGTAACGCTGCTGGTAACACGGCCAACGTCCTTGATCAGACTGGCATGAACCTCGAGCCTTTCCCCACGTACACTGGGTAAGTCTTCTCCCTTTCCTTTTCACAAGGTTACAGTGATTTTTTTTTGCATTATCGAAAACTGACACTTGCTTTAGTGCCGCCTACAACCCTCCCGCCTCGCCTCCCACCAAGCGTTACAACGCACCCGTCCAGCCTCCCGCACAGTTCCGCGGACGCACCATCAGCCGCACCGGTCTCTAAAGCAACAGAGACCAACACCTAATGTCACATAATGTTTTCTTTCCTTCTTTTTCCTGAATGGGACTCCCAGTACCGTTCTTGTAGATAGTACCCATGATGCCGTGTGGATATGCATAGGACTTATTGTTTTGGCGGAGTTGATGATGATGTTGAGGGGAAAAGGTGAATATAGGCGATGAAATGGGTCGGTCGGACTAATATGTAATAACGGTCCCTCTACTACGAGCGACTTCTTCCAACTGAACCTCTCGTCGTCTACCTCGTCGCGGTCCCTTGTGGTGTGGCGTTTTGGTGAGGCCTAGGTTTGGCATGGGAGGTCTGACGATCCTGGTAAATTGAGATATATTCCTTTCAGGACTGTAGATGACGGAGACGTAGGTGGTGATAAAACATATATAGGTAGAAAAATCGGGGGGTAATGAGAAGGAAGTTGATTAAAACTTTGGTCTTGACTCTGAGACTGTGAATCGTGGATGGATCGTGAAGCCATTTCATCGTAACTACGCGAGTCGCGATTACTTCTCACATGGCCTTCCTTCAGGGTGCCGATGGAGCTGTGTCTTCTGCAAACAAAGCAATCTTGACATCGCTGAAAGGAGGCAGATGCGGGTAGACGGGGGGTGTCGGAATGTGGTTGAAATTCGGATGAGATTGACAAACGTCGATAGTGTTTGACGCCGAGGCTCCTCGGTCATGTGTACACGACAGGGCATAAACCAAATCCGTCCCCTAGAGATTTCGGCATCTCCCCAACCACCGAATATTTGACAAGATACCAATGGGTGCCAGTACAGCGTTCAGCAGGTTCCGCACGATCAAGCTCTATGCTACGAATAGAGCCGTCGAAGTTCGGATGAGCGAGAAAGGCAAAACGCGGCAAAACGCGGGCTAGTTGATCAAGGCCCAACTATCGCGATTCCCGAGTCTTGCTAATGATTGTAGCTTGATGTTCGCCATGCTTCCCAGCAACCGAGGTGATTCCGTTTTGGACTCCAGTGCCCGTCCGAAAGTGAGTCATCTCAACGAAACTCTTGACGGAGAGAGACGGAACCATGGAAAGGATGCCAAACAATGACGCGCCTATCCCCATGCGATTCCTCGTAATTGAAGAACTTGAAACGAAACAAGTCAAAGGTGAAGGAAGGGAGAAGACGGAACGCTGAGTGCCAGAACTTCGGATGAAAACTGATCAGAGACATGAAGGTGCTGGCTTCCGGATGAACACCTCCATGTCGAACGACAAACTCACCCCCAAGACGACGGCCATGCAACCGTGATGTTTCAGGGAATATTTGTCATTGACGATATCGAGAAAGCGCACATGTGAAGGCAGAGCCATGGAGAAGAGTGACCAGAAAGATCGGATTGATGTGGCTTCCTTATAAGGTGTCGTTGGGTGCGCGTATGTGGCCCAGCTCTATGAGCTAGTTTGAGTGCATTTGAGGCTGATTCGCAGCGGGAGCGCGCATTGCGGCTCTCGTTAAGTCGGGGGTTGTAGCCACCACCGACGCGCGCCTTGAGCCGATCTCAGTCTTCTCGGTGTTGGGGCGTTGGCGTGAGTCTAATCCGCAAGAGACTTAGTTTACATAGACCGAAGAAGGGTCTTGCGGATGTTGCCGAGAGGGAAGTCGGTTATCGCGAGTTGAAGCTAGTCTGAATTGGTTTCTGGTGTGCTGGCAGGCCTCGTATCGTATGTGAGACCGGATCGACGTGGAGTTGTCTTGGCTGTGCAAAGGCTCATTCTTTGCAGATTTTGATAAACGGTGAGGATAGACTTGATGTCTGGGTGTTGTGTCGGGGGTTTTGGCTTGTGGGGCATGTTTCCAGAGGTAAGATGGTTATGACTGCCTTGGTGTAAGTGTTGGAGGAGTTTTGTGCATCTGAAAAGTTATAAATCTTGAGGAGTAAATCGAGATCTCCGCAACCACGCTTGTTTTCCCATGCTCCAGAGAGTGTTTTGATCATATTACCATAACCCTTCGATTCCCGTAATGTAAGGTCTCAAGGGATCTTGACTTTTACTGTTGCCAACCGGATGGAGCTCAGTAGCTAGCCGTGTTCTTGTGGGCCAGAGGCTCCCGTCCGTCCGAGAAACGTCCAAGACGGGTATGAGAATCGAGTTCGTAAACCGTCTTCGCCCTACCAAAGAGAATTTCAAAGGAGGGAAGGATTGCGGATGAAAATAAGAAACATCGTCCACTTTGCAGCGACGCGTTGCCGCCTGCTCATCTTGCGCGGTTTTCGGGATCGAAGAGTGCCTGAAAGGTGTGGCGTGGATTTGCGGCACCGAGCTGATGCCCAACGAGCTCCCTCTAGCATACAGAGAGGAAAGCTCAGAGGCAGTAATATAAGAGTGCGAGACGATGTGGGTGGAAAGCTGATGTGGGGGTGTTGATGATCAAAGATACTCGAGAATCATGAGGGAAATGGTATCGTCGTGCGTGGTACCCAGGACATCGTTAGCAGGTTGAGGTTCCATTCTTTTCCCTGAATAAGCGGACTAGAGAAAGGGAAGAAGTAACAATAAAACAAGTTGAAGGGACGAAGGACAGGAGTTGATGAGATGGTAGCCGTGATACCTCGGTCGGATGTCCACCAGAGAGGGTGAGAGGGGAGAAGGGAGTATTTCGAAGAACGAAATATGCAGCAACTCAACAGCAGAGGCGAGAGAAGTAAACAGAAGGGTTGGTAATTGGGCATTTTTGCCACCCTACCTCGAGTTATATACCTTCGACCTTCCCGCAGGAGAATAAGGGCGCCCGGCTCGGCGTGCCCTATCCCGCCTGTGCAACCTCCGTGATCTGCATCTTTGGAAACCCGATGCAGAGCTTACTGGACCTCTAATGGGCTGTTGCTTGCCTTGCGGTGTATGTGTGTGTGTGTATGTGTGTCCATCTGTACATATGTGTGTGTTCCATCTGGCGCCCCCTGCCTACATCAGAACATGCAGTATGGTGTCTAGGCATAAGAGAGTCCAATCCACACCACGCACACACTCATACGTACGCGTATGACAGGAAAAAGGTCCTTGGGAAACTTTCCGATACCCAGCTTTGAGTGGTCAAGTTCTTGGAGCACAGCATGGATGGTGGCCCTTACCCGTAAGAAGGAGGGAGTAAGCAGAGACCAGGTCTCGATGACCGCAGGGCGAGGAAAGGAGATATCACGGACAAACCAAAGACTGCAAGGTGATCAGAGAAGGAGCAAGGGAGTCCGTTCATCGACAAAGAGGAAGGGGACCTGAGGTAAGGAAAGAGAGGTAGCGTTTGGGTGCTCCTCCATGGCTAGGAAGAAGAGAAAGCCGAGTGACACCCTTCCAGTCCGGTCACCTGGACTGGAACTATGTGATCGGCTCTAAAAATGGCAGTCAGAAGTCGAGAGAAGATAGAGAAGTTGGGAAAAAGTTGGGAAACACAAAGATTAGGAAGGATTCCGGGATACGACGCCGGAGAGAAGGGGGAACACCAAGTCTCCTTCCCATTCGTCACGGCTCCTCAACCGCCTCTTTTTTTTCTCTCTCCCCCAAACGGAGCTGACGCAAGTCATCCCACAACAGCACCGAAGAAGCTTGACCGCTTCCAATCTTACCTGCCCTCTTACACAGGTTGTAAGTTTTTGTCGAGAAACCGTGGGAAGGGGGAACGGGGAACAGGGAGACTGTACGCCCTGCTTCTGACGAGAACCGTGAATCATCGAGACAAGGTAGAAGAGTAGAGTGGGAAACAAGCACCAGGGAAACGGAACTCGTGGTATACTCGACCAAAGAGATGAACGCTGGCGTTCCCGAGTTTTCCCCCTCGAAACTCTACCCAGTTCACCGGAACCACGAACTGACTGGGCTGGCCTGACGAACCAAACCAGAAAATTGACTGGTTCCCATCTCCACGGGTTCGCACAAAACGAAACCTACCAAGTACGGGAAGACGGGAATCTAGCGGGATCCGTCGAGGAACCCGGTTGAAACATACAGAGCCATGACAGGTGTGAAGTAAAGGAAAGAAAAGATGGGAGGCCTTGTTGGTCTGTTCGTCTCCATTAGTTTGGTCTCGGAGATATCACCACATCACTGGCGTGTCTGACTTCGAGGGCGTGAACTTTGAAAGTAAGTACGGAGAGGACCAGAGATGAACAAACCACGGTCTGTCGGATGTAATTTGATTCAAAACGTAATCATTTTCGGTCTCGTTTCCACGTCTCATTCGTGGGTCCATTGCAATGGGATTCGAGGTTCTGTCCCAAGGCCCCAAGGTCCAAGATCCAAGAGAGAGGAAAAAGAGGGGATGAAAACGACAAACGAAAAAAAGAGGTCAACCCGGGGAGGCAGCCCAAGAGTTTGGGTAACTTGGTTCCAAGGATCACCAACAAAGGGGGAAACCAAACAGCAAAAAAGGTCAAAGAGAAACTGGGAGAGCAACGAGAAGTTGGACCTGAGACTTCCAGTCAGTAATGGAGGGAAGAGAAATAAAATGCCCTCAATCCAAACTTTTGATTCGTTCAAGAAAAGAGAAAAAAAGCGGGATGTGCGTGAGACATTGGTGCTCCTACTCCAACCCGGTGACAGTCACCTTTTGGTTCGTCTCTTACCTTTCCATGTTCGTGTCAGAATCTGTACGCCTCGGGGCAATGGCTGAGCGCGCGGCGGGGACGTGTGTAAGCTTGGTACATGAGGTATATGCGCGCGCGCGCGTTTGTATGTGTCCGCCGATGCGCTCTTTCGTCCAATTACGAGACACTGCAAGCACGACCTTATTTGCCTTTCTACCTACATGCCTGGCTGCTGAGAGGAAAGGCGGGCAGACGTACATACTTGCACATAAGGCATGGGTACGTAGGGAGATGGAGAGGGCGTGATTGTATTCGATGACAACTTTGATAAGCAGGACAGCACGACAAGACAGACAGACATGCTAGAATGCCCGAAAGTTACGGATATTCGGACTTAGGAGGGTAGTCTGCATCTGCGTTGAGGATACAATCAACCGCTTCGTGGACTTTTAATCATGTCCAGATCGGATAGATTACACAATTCTCGGAGACCCTCATAGGGTACTAGACAATGTACCTTGGTCTCCGGGTTCTAGAGTCGAGCCGCTTCCCGTCTTGAATCATGAACGGCATCAACTGGCTCCTCTGTGATACCCTTAGAGGATTTGGATAGTCCACCACGTATGATGGAATCCAAGTGTCAGGCCTACGTTGTATATACTGGAATGGTAGTCCAGGAATCTAGTTCATTATGATCAACTACTAAATCAAGTAACTAAAGCATGCTCCAACTTTACATGTTCATCCTAGTTGAACGAACCTTTCAAAAAGCTGCAAGAAGATTGAATCTGTCCCAATTCCCGGGGACCCGATAAACCTCCAACGGTCAAGACATCTCAAAAGAGACAGAAACTCACATCTCCCGAGGCAAGATCTCCTGATCCTCAAGCGAGATCTCCTGATTATACAGACAAACTTGAGATCGAAACAAAACTGGACGAAAAAAAAAGGCACAAGAAGCATACCTCTGGAGAAACAACAGTAAGAAACAGCCAGTATGGTTCGACCGAGACATATCCTCCGAGCCGAGCGGCATAGGAATAAACCACAGGCCTGGGGCCAGGAGAGGAAACGCCTTTCTCGTCCGTTCGTCCCATACATGCCCTCCCGACATAGGGCAGGAAAGAAAAAGAGGCCCTCCGTACTTACCAAGCGGCGCGCCGGCACTACGGGAACTTGGATAAAGTTGGATCTGGCAGGAGCCAAGATGCCTCCTGCAGAGAGGGGGGCGTGTCAGATCTACGGGGAGCAGGTTGTCCATCTTATTTCGTGGTCCTTGGGGGGTAGAATGGTAGAATTCCTTGGTCTTGAAAGTCAACAGTCCATGTAGGACCGAGGAAGAAAGGTTTGCAGATGGAAAGCCATGGCCAGGGAAGAGAGAGGAAGCCCTGTACGCCCGATGTTCGGACAAGCATGCGCCAGCCAAGGACCGAAGTTCGGGTGGTCAGACAGAGACAAGACGCCCGGATTTGAGATTATGTGGGTGGCTCTGAGAATATGCCCGTTGATGGGGCTGAAAGCTTACGCCTGATGGTGAGTCGGGAGTGGTCAGTAGAGATAACCAGCCATGCTCCAGTCCGCATAGGGCCGAATCCGCTTCCTTGATCAGGTCCTCCGGGACATTGGGGACACAGTCAGAAGCAAAAAAATAGGATAGAAGAGGACTCCTCCACCGACTATGTGACGGTTTCACCAACAAGGGGGATCGGTAAGGCTGATGAAGAAGCTGTTGGACAACGTAGTATCGCCAGACAACTGTAGCCCAAAGGCGTAGGCGTTCATCCTCCCCTGCGCCTCGGCAGGAAAAGAAGGAATATGCAGCCACGTCTCTTGGTTTCGTGTATTAATCCACTCGGATCGACCGCTTGATGTACGAAAGGGAAGCCCCGAAGGCTACAGATTTGGCCTCTCGGGTAAGGCGCCGGGTTGGGCTGTTGTCAAATCGCTCTGCTAGACGTGTCTAGCTTGTGACTTTGGCAACAATGATGGCCTGACTACCGGATGCCAGATAAGAAAAGTCGGAAACCCGTAGTTGTAAGTGATTGGATAGGTCGAGATGCCAGTAGAGTCGAGGTTGCCTATACCGCCAAGCTTCTGTCTCCAGGACAGCAGTCTTGGACCAAAAGTCCGTCTCTCGAGATGCCCATAGAATCATGAGAAAGGTCAAAGACCTGTTTTGTAAAGGGACCAGATCGAAGAGGTGATCTGAGAATCCGCCTTCCGAGGAAAGTCGGTTCGAACCCTAGAAACACGTCTGAGGTTAACAAAATATCCCGAAGAACACAGCACCTAGTGTCACCGTCTATTCACTAGAGCCCGGTGTCAAGCAAAATCCCACTATTTCTCGACGTCCACCCAGCAGAAGCGGCTTACAAACACTGATTCGCGCTGCCATAGCAAGGACTGAGCAAGTCCAATGCTCAACCAGAGCCCGAGCTTGTTCGCATAGCAATCAGTCCCAGGGGCTTCTATTTCGAGAGGTACGCTAACCGTGGAAGGATTCGATCGCAGAACTGAGGTGTTCCTCCGAGAGGATTACGAGGAGGCTGTCTCGACTAGACCGGGAGCATGTCCGGGCCATAGATTTGCAGAGTAGCCGAGCGACCGTGGGGAAGACACTTGGCGGCGGGGGACGTTCTGGAAAACAATCGGTGCTACGGCTGGGAGTGTGCATATTGGACAGAAGAATGTCCACCGTATCGGTGGATGGCTAGTACCACAACATCCATAATGGCGGTAGAAGCGACTCTTCTCACTGCCCGAACTTTTAGCTGGTTAACAAGAATACTGGAGGGCGATAAATCAGAGTGTCTTAGAGGCACCCCTCTGTCCTAAAAGATATCTAGGTCAAGTAGGGCGTTCGTGGTAACACAGAAGCGTCATTATTTTCCGGGATACGACAGAGATATTTGCTGCCTAGCAGGTCTGAATCGACTGCTGTAGTGTGGGATGGTTGTAGGTACCTGGGTGATGATTCCTATGATATGCAGGCTTCGGTAGTTCAAGGGAGTAGCTTTGGGTCAGCTAGGTGTCGTTTATCAGCATCACCACTGCACATTTGCAAAAAGAATGCAGTAGTCTTGCAATCAAAACAGCGACCAACTTGGTAAGACCACCCGCTGAGGTTAGACGCGCTAGAGGGACGAAGCAAGGCACGCCATGCAGGCGTGGTCGGACGTCCGATGGCACAGCCGCAGTCGATTTAGGGGTGGGTATTTCGACTGCCCTTCATTCCTTCCCCCCGCCTTGGACACCGGCCGGAGCGTCAGGTAAACTTGCGCGCTTCTTGGGCCCACCAAGATAAGTCGGACGGGCGGGCGGCTGCAAATCATGGGCCCATTGTTGGTTGTTTGATACAGGCAAAGCCTGCAGCGGTCGCCGTGGAAGCCGGCGCAAAGCTGCACCTGGGTTCCGGAACGGCAGCACCATCTTGGACCAGATTCGGCGTAGAGGAGCATTCCAGACCGGAACGTCGGTAGTCCAAGCAGGAATGGTCGTTTGGGCTGCCGTACTCGGACTTGGAGACAAAGTAGAGTCGCATAGTGTTCCACCTGGACCGTTTTGGTACGACTGGCCAACAATGGAGTCCAGATGCACGGAGAGAGATGACTCGTTATTGGCGGGAGATCCAAGGCTGTGGCTCATAGCAGCACCTTGTTGCAGAGCCTCCCGCCTGAGGTAGAGATGACGTTGATGTGTCTCACATACTGCCATCCATACTCTGGGACTCGGGAGAGTTGCGAGTGGTATAGATACGGCGTTGGACCATACCAAGACCATGGGCCTTTTGTGGTAAATGCGATCGACCAACACCATTGCTGTTCGGCTCATGCACGGCTCCAAGAGGCTGGCTGGAGGGATAGAATCGGCATGAGACGACAGGCCGCCGCGCCGATTCCGATCGTCCGCCCTCCGGACAAATGTGTACAATCTTGCGGTAAACCAGGCCCATCACTTCACTTAGCCGGGTGCAAAATTGCTTTCGGAGCTGAGTATGGAGTAATGGAGGGTACTCCGGCACTTGGGCAGAGAATTGAGTCCTGCCGTGGTCTTGGCAGCCAAGCCATCAAATCTATTTCCATGAGGAACGATTTACGATGCCCGTTTGTCTTCTGCTAGTGATTAGTCGCGTTTCGTTTCCTTTTCTTCTATTGGTAGGGGGACCGTTGGGGATCAGCATGCGGCTAGGCACGAAGACAAGCATCGCAAGCTAAGGCCATGTCAGGCAAGGCAAGCTGTTCCCACTAGGGAAAGGTGCGAGATGGAAAAGGGGAAGGGCGTGAATTGGGGCGTGAATCTGGTGATGTGCTGCGACGACAGGATTCGACCCCCGCGTGTCCGGCTTGGTCGAGTGAAGCCAAAGTGAGCGAGTGAGTTCAAGATGGGGAGGCCCAGTCCTGATGTGGTGAGATGAATTGTTGGACAAGGTGAGTAAACGCGTGTAAGTGAGTGCCAGCCGGGATAGGATTGTCCTTGTCTTCGAGGGCCTGGACTTGGTGAGTGCTCCCCCACCATCTCTTCCTCCCCTCTTCCCCTCCGTATTTTGGGTTGGGTCGACGGGAGGATGTGACAGCGCCCTGGGGCTCGTACAACGTAGGCGCTGTGAGTCGATAATAGCCACATCACCTCACCCGTACGAACGGTGTACCGGTATTCCTACCGCTGTACGGCCCCGTAAAGAAGAAAACCCTTGTCGCCGGGGGCAACGGGGATAGTAGAGACAGCGGGCCGCCCTCGGACAATGCTGGCTGCTAAGGTTTGGTGGTGAAGCAGTGGTCCCAGTGGAGGATTTTCCAGCAGGACACCTCAGTAAAGCACACATAAGTCCCTGTGGTCAGTCACTGTTGATTAGTGGTCAAGTCTCTTAGGGAGCCATTTGGGCGGCGCAGACTCACCGGCGATTTTTGTGATTGGTTCACCTGCGAATGAACAACCGCTAGAGCATCCCACGACATCTCCTTTCTCGTCCTTGTTTTCACCTTGCCTGAGGACATACGAGACGACGGCTCGCATCCTGTGGAAAGCAGCATCAAGGTCTATTTTGAACAATGCTCTTGTTCTAGCCGTATCCTATGCTGTGCGATGTGGGATCCCGAAGGTATGGGCAATCCAGAACAGCACTTGCCATGCTAATCGAAGAACAAACATTCCACGACGGTCCGTCCATCGCAAATAATACCAAGAAATGAACGACAAAGTCTGCTTGTTCTTCGTGTGCATACGATCCTGTCTGCTGCTATTGCATCTGCAAGTCATCCATATCTGGCTTGCCGTCAAGATGAATGACTTCGAGACTCGAAGATTCGGTCGCCGCCCATTGCTCCGTCCGTACATGTACGACTGTCGCCCAGGCATCGGACCCGGGTTCCTCAGCTACATGAGGATCTTCGTAGATAGTCCTTGCTGGTAGAACCTCGTCGAGATCCGTCTCAAATACGGGCTTCTGCAGAGCACCACTTTCTCCTCAGACATCAGTCGAACTTGGTCTTCATCCACCATGGGGCGCCGACCGCCGTTGGGTCTTAGTGGCCTGAAGAGGCCTAAGGCGATAGCCCAAGTGAGCTTGGCTGTGCGCCACCAAGCCCGTCCGTTCACGCTGCTCAAGACGGCCGACTTTCAGGTGAGCGATGCGCCGGCTAGACGTATCTCGTCCACAGCCAACTGATTATCTGGTAGCAGCGAGATATGGACCAACATACTGTCCGCAGCTGGGATACAACCTGCTCCGAGACGCCGCATCAAAGAGGGCCTCTCTTTTCCCCGGGTGTCCATTGCGGTGGGACAGAGGCAGGCGCCAGATATTGGGACGAATAACCAGACAAGGCATGCATTCCGCATACGTGCCGCGTTAGACGTCTTTGCGAGGAATATGGCGGACGGGCCGCCTAAGACCACGCCCTATTCGTCCACCAGGGTGGCCAAGGCCCACGCCCCTCGCCCCTCTCACCACGACAAAGATGTTGGAGTTTGCAAGTCAAGACAGCAGGGAAGTGTGCAATTCTGGAAACTGAAGCTTGTCAGAGTCAGCCTGAAGAAGTATGGCGGGTGGACATTGCCTTGTGAGGCAGGCAATGAGCCGTTGCAAGTACCGGCCCATCTCAAAGCTTGCAAACTTTGGCATGAGGAGGAGACTGTAGCGAGAGCGAATTTGGGATTACATGTCAAATCAGAAAATAGTGCTGCGCTGAGCTGTGAAGTGCAGCACCGTGTACCGTAACTCGCAGTTTATTGTGGTTTGTCATTGCGCCGCGGTTGTCGTCCAGATCGTAGGCCTGGTCATGTCTAAGATGTGTGTATGTCGCCTGGGCTTGAGCCTGAGCCTGAGCCTGAGCCAAGATGAGTGGTGAGAGCCATGGCCGGATCTGGTGTGGCCGTTGTCCGTCGGACCGTTGATTCGGATACCACTTGTTGCTTCCAGGTTATTCTGGAAAAAGGAAGAAAGGTGTCGGTGCTGAGGAGTCAGGAGAGTCGATTAAGGTGCATGTGGAAGAGGCATCTGAATCTCAGCGTAGCTGAGCAAAGGGCCCAAGACAGCGGAAAGTGAGGTATGGATCGAGTGCGTGGATGCGTGCAAGTGTCGGTCTGTTCTGTCACTGTCTGTCTTTGCCATCCGAGTGTTTCCAAACGGCATGTGCCATGTATCGGACGAAAGCGATATGCTCTGGGACGTGCGGCACCGTGCTGACGCAGGCTGTTTTGCCAGCTGGGCCTGTGTTTGGTAATCGAATGTTTGGAATACAAAGTAGAGACGCAGGCGACTGGAGTGGGAGTGGCGCTTGATTGGCACGAGTGGGAACGTCTGTTCAAACTCCAGAGCGCGTTCCTGTTCCTGCCGCCGCCGTCGCCGCCGCCGCCGCGGCGCTTGTGCTTCGTCTTCTGCGAGAGCCTCTGGCGTGCCTGGGCGTATCGTGCATTGAGGTGATCGTGTAATTAGGTGCAGCGCGCGTGTGTTTCCGGTGGAACGGTGGAAGTCGACCATGCCCACAATAGACGATGGCCTGTTCGACGGTCGAGGTCGAAGCTCGGCATCCGGTAAGGTAGTGGAGATTTGGCTCGAGAGGCGGTCCATGGCACGGCGTGGCAAGGGACCTGGCAGATGGGAGGCAAGGAGATGATCTGCAGTCCCCTCTCACTAGGTAGGAAGAGGTCGAGGCTCTGAACGGGCTCCAGAGAACAGGAATAAGCGTAAGGAGAAACGAAGCCAAACAAGACCCCTTGCCTCGACGCCATACCAAATGAGGCAAGGCTGCGGAAGGGGATGCGAGCCCCGAGAGACAGTCCACGGGTGCCACGCAGCACGCTTGCCTTCCGGGTTGGCCAAGGTAGGTACATAGAGCATGTACTGAGCGTACGTACTTCGTAGCGGATCCAGGTCCACGAATTGGAAGGAGGAACTTCCAGGTTTGGGAAGAACGGGAGACCCGGCGACGTTGCGAAAGGGGTCTTCCCGGAACATCCATGGCCCGCACCGCATCGTCCACACCTTTAGGTTTGCCTTTCACCTCCAATCCTATGGGCTGTATCCGAAGTTCTCTGGTACGAAGTAAGGTACTGCCAAAGGTACATCGCTCGTGTACTCCGTACTGCTGTACATATTGCTGACAGAGCATCATCGAGAGGCGAGCAGTGACTCCCATTGACCAACGTCTGTGGACTTGTCTCTGGGTACCTGCGTTGGCTTCGTTCCTTTTGCGTACGGTCCAGTATCTGTGATGCCCTTTTGGACAAACACTGGCTGTCGAGTCTTTGCTTTCCCAGATGCAGCTAAAGAATGGAGAAACAAGCTTCCCATAAAGATACCATGCTGGGTAAGGTGGTCCGTACTCGTACCTACCCGGCGCTCTGTGACCTGCGCACCCACTGCGGATAAGGGTGTACTCGGACTGGAGTGGTATCGAGAATATCCACTTTCCTACTGAAGTAGATAAGTCAAGAGACAGCTTTCGTAAGGTATTCTAGGCACCACAGTTTTCAGGTGAAGTGGAGGTACGTTCTTTCCCTGTTCCGACATGACGTGGACGGGAATAGCGCAGTGTAGGCTGATAGGAGCTGGTAGGAGGCCGGGCGGTGTCAAGGTGCATGAGGTGGGCAGAAGAAGGGGAAGAAGTTCAACGACAACACCCTCACCTCTCACCTTGTGCGGCCCTCTTCCTCTCTCCCCTCATCGATCGGTACGTACCTGCTTGCTGGCCCTACCGGACGTGGGGTGAGGTGAGGTGAGATCGAAAAGTGGTGCTTTCCCCCTTGCCCATTTACTTGCCGGGGCCCGAGACCCCACTCTTGCACCAAAGGGGGCAGCGTTGAACCAGGAGAGAAGGAAGCGATCCACCTTGCTTACCTATCCGAGCTCGGTACGTATCTCACAATCACAAAAGAACGTATCTATCTCAGGGCTCAAGTTAAGGAAGGAACGTGGAGTGCGGTGGGCGTCCGCCGACTTCCTCTCGAGAGCCGCAAGCCGCAGCCCACCACCACTTGCCCGCATCCCGTCCGCCGCCGTCCACCTCCCCCTCCCCCCACCACCGTCAAGTCCGGCGACGTCAGCCAGGGCACCTCAGCTGTTTTCTCCGAACTTCACCCAGTAACGTCTCGCTTCCTTCTTCCAGCCCGTCAGCCTCTTCTGTCACCTCGACATGGACATCCATCGGCAAGGGCTCGCGAAATAACCAAACATCGATATGCATTCTATCTACATCCGATGCATCAGCAACCATTACCATTGAAATCCTTCGCTTTTTCCCTCTTAAACGCCAAAATCATGATCGTCCATTGGTCCTGAAGCCCCCAAAAGGAGGGGGGGCGTGGGGCGTGTCGATTTGGTTTCTATCTCTGGGTTCATCTCGCTTTGGCAATGTCCATGGGGATGTCCGTCGGACAAAGCGTTGACCTAGCGCCCACCCCCACAACCACCCCCACAACCGCACACAATCCGCATCCCGTAGCCTGCAATCTACCTACCCAACGTCCATCGACCCTGTTCAATCGCTAGTCATCCGAGTTCTTCTCCAGGAATCAGACAGGCCTGCCGTCCGCCGAATTGCCTGACACGCCGTTCTTTTCCATGTGGGGAATCCGCATCGCGAGCTGTGTGAGGCACAGTCTGCGTACCCGGCCTGGCTCGTATTGCGGAGTTTCACCAGACCGTTTCTACCATGGTGCCGTACGCTGCTGCCCTGCGTAGCCATGTTTCGCATCTTTGCTCTGCTTACCTTCTTCAGTACTCTTCTCATGGCTTCTCGCGCAGGATCAAGGTGGTCCGGTCTCGATGTCCCTCTGATGACAGCCCTGCTCCCAGGTTGACGCCTTTCCAGCAACCTCCATTGCACCCAACGAGGTAATCTTGGGGCATACCCTTAACGGACCGTCCTCTTCTCAAACCCGTTTCACCGCTTTCGATCTTGTTCTTGCTGTTAACGCTTCCGGGATCGAAACTCGTTTTCCTTCGCCTGCCATGCGAGCTTGCTCGAAACTCGTCCCGTAGCCCACGACTCTGTAGCTGTACAGCCCTGCGCTACCTGCCTACCCAATACAGTAGGAGGCTGCTGGATCCTGTGTCTTCTGGACAGGTGGACCAGGCAACACTCCTGGTATCAACACGTCATGTCTGGCCAAGATGTCCTTGACGTGCCCCACCGACAGGGAAACTTACTACTGCTTACTTCCAAGCAAAACTCGAGATATGCGTCGTCAAGAGAGCCCGATACATGAGCAAATGATACACGAGCCGGTACATTCTCTGTCCCTCGCTCCGCGGTGCCGGCCTGGGCGTGTGTATTCTCGAGAGTGAGAAACATTGGCAAAATGCGTGAGCGAGGTCCTGCTTTGCCTTGCTTCCGCTAGAGTTGCTGCGCTGCGGCCCATTGTGGTCCTTCTTCTGTCTGTCCGGCTGCCCGTTCACCCAGCATAGATGAATTGGATTAGGGAAGCCCGTGTGGCGGCCTCGACCGCTTGCCCTGAACCAATGGGCCTCGACCGATGCGGCAAGACACTGAAAATCATCCATGAACTTCGGTCACCGAGGATGCTCAGGGCCGGACTGACGCTAGCCACCCGGGCGAGAAGAGGATGGGCCCTAGTGCGAACGAAGGGAAGGGAAGGGGGTGCACGGGGGCGTGCGGATACTTGGGATGGATTCTGTCTACGCACCCCCCCTTTTACCTCACTCCCTCTCTTACCAGCATGTGTTGCATGTTGCGATTGATACCGCTATCCATCAGCCATGACATTGACAGCTGGGTTGAGTAACTCGGGAGGTGGTCTGTTATTGGATTGGTGTACACACCCGTTGCCCGTCCTGTCTCGAGCCCATCTCAGTCATATAAGTTCAAGAGACTCTCCCGGCATCCAGACATATTCTTCTTTCCAGACCATCGGAACCTCATCACCCTAGGAAATCTATGTCGACAACCCTTCAAGATGGCCGACATGATGTCTTATCTCCTCTTCGGAGATCAGTCACTTGATACCCATGGATTTCTCGCCGAGTTCTGCCGTTCAGGGAATCCGAGCACCCTTGCGAAGACATTCCTCGACCAGGCTGGCCAGGCTTTGAGGGAGGAGATCGATGGTTTGGGCAAGTTGGAACGGTCGAAGCTTCCCACGTTCCTATCACTACGACAACTCAACGAGCGATACCACGCCCAGAGCATCAAGCACCCGGGTATCGACAGTGCCTTGCTGTGTATCACCCAGCTGGCTCACTACATCGAGTACGTCGCCTGGACATTTCGCGGAAACTTCATGACATCCTCACTAACTAGCGTGTAGCCGCAACGAAAAGGAGCCGCAGGATGTTTCTGTCCACGAACACACTTTCTTCATGGGTCTTTGCACGGGGCTCTTCGCCGCCGCTGCTATCGCCTCGACCCCCTCAGTCTCTACCTTGATACCCCTTGCCGTTCAGGTAGTCCTCATGGCCTTCCGAACCGGCACCCACGTCGGCTCGTTGGCTGAGAGGCTTAGCCCGCCGGTCGGTCAATCTGAACCCTGGACACACATCCTTCCTGGCCTGAAGGAATCCGACGCCAAAGAGGCACTTACTAATTTCCATGAATCTAATGTAAGTTTCATCCGCGAGTTCTAGTCATACATGGTCTCTAATCTGCTTGCAGTACATCCCCGTCGCCAGCCAAGCATACGTTAGCGCTGTGTCGGCATCAAGTCTGGCGATCTCAGGACCGCCTGCCACCCTCAAGGCTCTCGAGGATCAGAATGTCTTCGGCGTCAAGCCGACGGCTATTCCCGTCTACGGACCCTATCACGCATCACACCTTCACGGTACCGCCGATATCGAGAAGATTCTGCGCCTCAACGACCCCAAGGTAGTCGAGGTCTTGGCCAAGACTAAGCCTCGCTCTGCCATCATGTCAGGCACCAAGGGCATTTGGTTTGCCGAGACAGACACCAAGTCTCTCATCAAGGCCGTCACACACGAGTGTCTCATCGATGTCCTTCAATTCCAGAAGGGCATTGAGGGATGCATCGAGACTGCTCGCGATTTCGAGGGATCAACTTGCCTCGTTATCCCCTTCGGCCCCACACACAACGCCGAGACGCTCTCGAAGTTGATCAAAGACAAGACACAGTTGGATGTCATCGTCCGCCCGGGACCCAAGATCCAGAGGGAGAGCTACACCTCTCCTATCGGCAACCACGGGTCCAGTGGAAAGTGCAAGCTGGCCATCGTCGGTATGGCTGGTCGTTTCCCCGACGCCGCCAGTCACGAGAAGCTGTGGGAGCTTCTTTCCAAGGGTCTGGATGTGCACAGAGTGGTGCCTGCGGATCGTTTCCCGGTCGCAACCCATTACGATATTACCGGCAAGGCTGTGAACACCAGTCACAGTCAATACGGATGCTGGATTGAGAACCCTGGATACTTCGATCCCCGATTCTTCAACATGTCTCCCCGCGAGGCATTCCAGACCGATCCCATGCAGCGGATGGCTCTCACCACCGCCTATGAGGCTCTTGAAATGACCGGATATGTGCCCAACAGGACACCGTCGACAAGATTGGACCGTATCGGTACCTTCTACGGCCAGACTTCCGACGATTGGCGTGAAATCAACG